ACAGGGGATGGGGGAAGGAGAAGAGCTGCCATCCTTCCACACAGAAGGGAAGGAACAAGTACCAGGAAGGGAACAGAAAAAGTGTGGTGGTTTGGGAAAGGAAATAGAGGAGAGCCTTCTGGAAAAAGCTGCCATGCTCCTGCCTCATGGGGTGGAGTGTAGGGACAGCACGTGTGAGCTGGGGTCATAAACTAGGGATTTAAAAATGTTTCCTGTCATCTTTCCAGGAAAATACTACAACTATGACAGCAGTGGGAGTGACACCTCCAGCAGCATCATGTCAGACCAGTGCGCCGGGCAGTGGTTTCTCGGGGCTTGTGGTCTGGACCAAGGGGAGTTTGAGGTAAGGGAAGGGGCAGCCTGGTGCAGGGTGGGGTGAGATGGGACCTACCTCCTGCCTGGAGGAGAGCAGCAGGACTGCGGCACGTGGCGTGGGTTAAGTGTTAGGGGCTGGTGCGGGGGCTCCAGCCTGCTCCCCCACAGCGATGCATGCTCAGGTGAGGGCTGGTGGATGGATATGGGTGCAGCGCGCCTCAAACCAAAATCTGCTCATGGAGAGGTTATGCAGCAGGGGTGTGTAACCACGGTTGGCTGTGGCACGCTCGGAGGAAGGTGCGGCTGGGATTTGCTCTTTGCAAGGTGCTATTTGTTTAAACATGGGAGGAAAAAAGTGTATGAAACTTTCCACGTGTTGTTTGGTGCCTCGTTTAAAGCCCTAAACAAATATCTGAGGGAACTAAGGCTTATTTGGGACCCTAAAGTCTGTTGGTCTTCAGTTGCAAGAGAAAAATAGGCTGAAGGCTTCTCTTGTCTGATGGGATGGTAAGAGCAGCTGCTGGTGGTGCAATACCTGGAACAGAGCTGGGAAGAGGAGAGCCATCATATAGATTATTTGTGACCCATAGGCAGTTGTCAGTCCAAAGCGGTCTGTGGTGGTGATGGACAGGCAAACACTTTGGGTGATGGAAGGAAAGCATGACTCTTGGTGGTATGAAGGTGACGGACCATTTCACCGTCTGTTGGTACCAGAGGGCAGCTTCCAGTGGCCTTTCCTGGAAGCAGCTTGTGCTGAATGCTGTGGGATTTAAAAAGAAGTGGGCGCTTGGATGTGCCCTCCTGCGTTTGTCCCAGTGTGGGTCCCTAGACCTGAGGCTCCAGGCAGGATCTGGCCCAGACCTCATGCAATAATACCCAAACATCCCTTTTTGGGGGGAAACAGTAAACCTGGTGCAGTCCAAAAATCTCACTTGCCCTTCTGTAGCCTCAGACTTCTGTTGCTGAAGGTGGCACTCTGCTGGCTGGTGAGCTTTGAGCTGACTGGAGATGGGACCGGTGAACTACTTCTCTCTTCTGTCACTATGACTATCGAGTTGTTTTTTTCCCCTGTATTTTGATCCCTTGCCTGGCTGGCAGCACTCCTATTTGTAACCTCATTAGCGCCCTCCTGCTGCATATGCAGGTCAGTAATGAAATACAAATTAGGAGGAGCCTGTGACCCAAGTCTAGAAGAAACTGTGCCCTGAAACCTTCAGATGCTTGGCTTTAATGTAGATAAAAGGGATCTGTTGCTTTTCCTTTGAGTCTACCGAAACTGTCCGGTTGGACTGCTCAGCTTACCTGTCTGGTGTCATCACACCTCCCACTTCCCCTGGCTCTGGTGGCACCAGACTGGTGAGAAAGGTCTAGCACATCTCTAGGCTGTGCTGGTGAGCAGCGAGCTGCCTGCCTCTTCCTTTTCTTGCAAGTAGATGTCGTGGTTGCTCCGTGAAATCGTTTCTGATCCTGGTCATCCTGTGAAGTTCTTGTTATGGCTTTCTTACCATTAGGTGGACGTGGGATGGAGCCGAGCCAGCCCTCCCCTTGCAATGTCACAGAGTCTTGAGCTTTGCGTTTCTCACTGAGGCAGTGACTTGTGCTGACACTTCCCAGTTTTATTGCCAATAATTGAAACACTGCAAAAGCTTTATACATTTTCCACTGTGCACAGAGGCTTTTCATCTTAATGCAGTCCTCGAGTTGCTGCTCCACTGCTTTTTGTTTGGCTGGCAGGTGTTTTCATGTTCAGGTGGGGCTGGTTGGGTTTGTTGGGTTTTGTTGTTTTTGCGGGGTTTTCTTTTTTTTTTTTTTTTTTTTTTTTTTTAAAAGGTCTTCCCGCGGGGTATTTTATTCTTTT